TGTTTCCAGTGTACCTACACTTTCATTTTTTGTTTTTTAAGAATTGATGTACTCGAAAACATTTTTGGGGTTGGTTTTGCATTCTTTGGCTTTCAATTTCTCATTATTTAGTTTAGCCATTTTAATTGCCTTTTGCAAGCATTATTGGCTTCCTTATATTTTATATAGGATGCCTCTGATTTTTACAATTTAAATGCTTTAAATGCCCTTTTGTGTCTATATGTATGTATATATATATATATATATATAAATATATATTATTTTGTAATTATTTATTTATTCATTCATTTTTTATAATTGTTTATCAAAAAAACTTTATATGCAACCCTCCCTTCCTACCTTTGGCCCAGGACGGGGGCATTACAAGCCCTGGTGGTCCAGTCGTGAGTGAACTCTAACCTGCAGGTTCTCCAGCTAGAATTCACTCTTGCATGAATAGCTCTAAATTCAATTTTGTCTCTAGTTAATTTCCTTAATTGATAATATAGTACAATACCGGTCCTTTTGGGTATAAAAGTAAAAACCATTACATTTCAAATATGGCAGGTTACTTTGTGTGATTAGGAAGACATTCTTCATAACATACCTGATTTAGGTGGAACAGTCCCAATTTTTGGATCTTGTCCCACTATTCCAACTTTGTTCCCTGATGTCTAGCTTTTGGGGACACCAGGGCACTGTCCCACAAAAGTTTTTCACAAGGACATTACTAGACATGCTGATGCTAAACACTAGACCCTTCAGAGAGCTCTGAAACAGTGCTCACTGCACGTCCTTAGATGACTGACAGGCAACCAAGTGTTAATTCACATGAAGCTGACCTGACCATAATTGGACTGACCTGCCCCCTTCCTGGGCAGGTCAGTTCCTTTGGCCTATGCTAGTGACTTGATTGTGATCCCTTTTCCCATCTTCAAAACCATGATTCTGATTCATGGGTTCAAGTGTTGGAAGGTATGAGAAGTACGAAGTGGAGATTTAATACTGCCTTCTCAGCTATGCAATTAGCCATTAATGGTCATTGTAGCAGTGTATAGAAGCTGGACTACTGTAAGAGCTAGATCCTAAACTGGAGCAAAGTTGTACAAATTCAGACCATTTTGAAATCAGATTTTTTTTTTGAAATCTAAATTACTTTGATTTGGATGCGTCTTAGATCTTAGAATACACCCCGGATTCAAGTTTTTTAGATCGGGATCCTGAAATTTTTAGCAATATAATCTAAATGTTTTCAGAAACTTAAAATTGCACCAAGTTAGGCACTGCTTAACACTTTTGGGTCCAGCCACGCCTTGCTGGCATTCAGTTTGAATGAGAAGTCCTCACTGGGTCTCCTTGGAGATACAGACTCATTGTCACATGTGGTAGGTTTCAGGTGATTATTAGCAGTGGAGGCTCGTCCATAGAGCCAAACCAGTATTTTATTTCTAGGGGCAAGTCTAAAACAATTCTAAAGATAATATAACTGTGACTGTATTAAATGTATGCATCATTTGTCACTTTAAATTTCTTTATTCCTCCTTCACCCCTTATTTAATTGTGGTGCTTGTGACCACCCTGGGAGAACTAAACTAAGTGTGTCAGGAATTTTGGATGCCTGGTAAAACCGCCCTGTGTTCACTCTATTAATCCATATGCCTTCTTAGTTTAGCTTTGCCCAGTTCTCCTGTAGCCCTGCCGTGTCCTTGAAGGGCTCTGTATGTCCTTCTCACTATGATCAGACAATGCATCCATAGAATGTCCTACACAAAGGTCCTGTGAATGGAAAGCTTGATCATTCACTTCCTCTGCTTCCATAGGGCTCCTCCGCTGTAGCTTCACACATTTCCCTACACTCTGTTCCCTCAACTCTCCTGAAGCACTGCTCTCCTTATCGCCACCCTGTTGGTGAGAATTGTGTATTGCATTCTCATATTATATCACAATACAGAATGCTCACATTGTGTCGTGTTTAAATATGACATTACTTTCCCTTGGGAGCATTTTGTTTGGTTATATTTTTTGCTCTATTTCACTTTAATTCTATTTTACTAGTCAAGCTTTGTCCACTAGATGGCACTAGAGGACTACATTTGAGGATCCAGGTTGCACACAGAGAAGTATGTCGAGCTATGTTCCCTGTTCTGATAGTGACCCATTTTATCGGTGTGATAGTAAAAACTGAGTTTTGTATTATCAATTTTAGTAATCTATCCTATTAAAATATAAAATGATTACACACTTTTTTAAATCAACTGTTGATTCTGTTCTGCGCACACATTAATGGGCTTTTGTGTCCCTAAGGAAAGTATGGTGCTTTAAATGAATTACTCTATAAATTACTAACAGATAATAAAATGTACCTGCCGTGTTACACACAATAGTGGTTTAAATTACAGAGTAGAAGATTTCATCTTATATTGTACTAGCACAAAAACTGGCAAACGTATAGACAAATCTAACTATTTAAAAATATGGTCCATCACATACTTGTCAATCATATCTCGGCATAGACATCTCTCTGCTAGTGGCATAAAGGATAATGACTGAGTGACAGATGAAAGCAGGAGAACCTTCATCTAGTGGTTCTCCTGCTCTCCAACTCTGTGATATTCCGTAAGTAGTCAGTCTAATACCAAAAACATTATTTAAAGGAACTGAGATTGAGACTTTATTGTTTAATGTCAGTAATAGTGTGAGTAATGTCAGGGCTAATTAATTCTAAAGGAATGTGATGTTGACAATACTGTGAGTTAATAAAACTCCAAGACAAAATAAAATAGTGATATTTTATACAACTGCTAAAGAACTGAAATGTATCAGAAAACATTTTCATCTAAATATATTATGAAATATTTTATTTCACCTTAGATTTGCAAAATTTTAGAAGTACATGTAGGCAACCACCACCATTAAGCCCAGAATCCCCATAGATACACGTCAGTCCCACTCATCCTAACACAACCCTACAATTTGGTTTTCTAACGCGTTTTGCAAAATCTGAATACCATGTGCCCTTGACTCACAAATAACACTCACAAATAGACAATAATTATTTTCCTAAATTGATTAAATTATGAAATATAAGGAAAAAAAAGAATATTAATATGCCATAGAAGTTTATTTGATTTTCATGAGTCCACAAATGCAGAATGAAGTGATTATTTGTAGAGTACACCAGTGATACTTTTGACGTTACTTCTTACATCCTTGTCCTTTTACCGTTTCTGTTAAACCTATAAAAAGAAGACGAGAAAGATATATAAACATATTGGAAGTATGGAAATAAGAGACACACTAACACACACAAACACACACTCTTAAGTATCTGATCTTGGTATGCTGCTATTAAACCGAGTGGTAAAATTAAATATAAATGAATAAGTTGTTATTTAAGAATGGAACTTACCTCTTACAATAATAAATCAGCATTTTGCTGCAGATATAAGACTAGTGTGAATGTATTCCATGTGTACTGCTGAGTGACCAATTCTATCCCAACCCAATTTCGAATGCCTGAAATGCCAGTCTCTTTTTATACCATCTATGCCATTTAAAACGAGCACCTGTGGGACTTCTTGGAGTAGTGAAAGTAAGAACATACAAGCCCCTTCCATTTCATTCTTGTTTGATTTTATAATGTTATGTAAAGTCCATTATACATTTAGTTATATCTGATTATTTTTTTACAACATTCATGAGAAGATTTTGTTAATGAGTTCCACTGATAAATAAGAAGCAATCACCATGGAAATAAAGAGAATATTTGTCAACGTTTACGTCTGTGCCCTAGATTAGCACCTGTGCTGCCTTTATAAACCCCCTTTAGTGTGTTAAGAAACCAAAATAGCTCATCCTTGTCTTTGTCTCATCCTTGTAAATGTCAGATTTAAAAAGGAGAATTGCAAACGTGCCATTAAATGGAAACTGTGGTGACAGGAAAACAGAGTTGTTTTCCTGGCATTATAGCTCCCTATAGTGCCCCCCTCCCTCGCTCCCTCATTCCCTCCTACCATGGTGTAGAATGTGTTAAAAAACCCTTCTGTCACTTACCTGATTCCATTGGCGCTGGTTCAGCTGGCAGGGGAGACCTAATGCGCAAGTGTAACAATAGCCGTGCTTGCATTAGGACATCCCCTATAGGAGAGCATGAGGCTGGTCTTTTAATATATTTATAATGCAATATATTTACAATCGCATAAATACTGGGTAAAAAGGAAGTACAGTGTTATTAAAGAAACACTCAAATTTATAAAATAAACTAAAAATAAATATCTATAATTACTGAAAATCCCATTTCAGTAATTTAACTTACCTTTATTCCAGCATAGGAGAATCTTCTCACTGGAGATCTGACCTGCCTCCTATTAAGTCATCATTACTGATGACTTGAGTCTAATCATATGCTTCTTGTAACGCAGTATTGAAACACACAGCAAATGCAATTCACACACTATGCTTGTCATAATGAAGCATTAAAACCAACTTTAGTTCAGAACGAGTGAGACAGGAAACCAGCTGTCTGCCTGAAACCCAGAGATGTTACTAAGGGAATTTAAAAAAAATATAATATATAGTTTTATCAGGGATTAACGTTTATAGTCCTATGTTACTAGCCAGGCCTTAAAAGGTACACACCGCGGCACGTCATAGTATACCTTCTGAGGGTGGATTTCTCCTTGCAAGAGCAAAATTTCCACTTGACAATGACTAGTGACAAATGGAGATTTTGAGACCTGGTTTAATTGTGATAGTATATACTTTTAGTTTAGTTAATAAAACCCTGATAGTTAACTTTGATCCATGATCTCATATGAGATACTTTCTATTTAATGGATTATATACCTATAGCCATTTAATTTCTATTTAAACATGCACTTTATTTCAGTTTTATTTTATTATGAGAATGTAATAGCCACTTAAGTTGAGGACTGATGAACAGGGCTCCTCAAATAACCACATCATCATATTCAACCCTTTACTTACCACCATAAATTCTTCACAGGGGTCATTGCATAGAGTTAAGCTCTGGTGACCATAACTTTCATGCTGTCCTTGTTGTCCTTGTTGGCCATCTCCTCCATGGTGACCTTGTTGGCTCTGTTGGCCAGCACCTCCATGGTGTCCTGATTGGCTCTGCTGGCCAGCATCTCCATAGTGACTCTGTTGGCTTTGCTTTCCAGAACCACCATCATGACCTTGTTGGCTCTGTTGGCCAGCATCTCCATGGTGACCTTGATGACTCTGTTGGCTAACACCTCCTTGGTGACCTTGTTGGCTCTGCTGAGCAGCACCTCCTTGGTTACCTTGTTGGCTCTGTTGGCCAGCACCTCCATGGTGTCCTGATTGACTCTGTTGGCCAGCACTACCATGGTGACTCTGTTGGCTTTGCTTTACAGCACCACCATCATGACCTTTTTGGCCATTACCTCCATGGTGACCTTGATGACTCTGTTGACCAGCACCTCCATGGTGACCTTGATGGCTCTGTTGGTCAGCACCTCCATGGTGACTTTGTTGGCTTTGCGTTTCAGCACCACCATCATGACCTTGTTGGCTATGTTGGCCAGTACCTCCATGGTGAACTTGATGACTCTGTTGGCCAGCTCCTCCATGGTGACCTTGTTGGCTCTGTTGGCCAGCACCTCCATGGTGACCATGCTGGCTCTGTTGGACAGCACATCCATGGTGACCCTGTTGACTCTGTTGGCCAGGTCCTCCATGGTGACTCTGTTGGCCAGCACCCCCATGGTGTCCTGATTGGCTCTGACCAGCACTTCCATGGTGACCTTGTTGGGTCTGTTGGCCTGCACCTCCATGGTGACCTTGCTGGCTCTGCTGTCCAGCACCTCCATGGTGTCCTGATTGGCACTGACCAGCATCTTCATGGTGACCTAGTTGGCTCTGCTGGCCAGCATCTCCATGGTTACCTGATTGGCTCTGCTGGCCATCACCTCCATGGTGACCTTGTTGGCTCTCCTGTCCAGCACCTCCATGGTATCCCAGTTGTCCTTGTTGGCTCTTCCCCCCATGACCTCCTTTAACTCCTGACATGATAGTATATAGTTTTGTGAGGACTGCTTCAAAAAGGATATATACTCTAGATGAAGGAGCTCCTTTTATAGTTCAGAGGAGTAATTGTCAAATTGGTATATTATTAAATTGGTTGGATTCACTCAGATTCATCAGCGTCTTGGATTGTTTCATTTTACCACTGTGGATCATTAAATGAGCAACCAGAATTGTAAAGGGTCATACATAGGAAAAAAAATAATGTTTAATTATTACCTTCAAAGAAGTTATTTTAACCACCATTTAATAGCCCATAATATCATAAAATATGATGATCTGGTATATCGTCAAATATGATGAGCTAGCTTATTATGAGTGTTTTTGAGTAAGCATTTTATATTCTATAATGATAATGGGAAAAAAATGTAAACATTCTGGCAAATCTGTTGGTGCAAAAATCTTAAAACATATATAAAATAATTTTAATTCATTTAAGTGTTGCACTACGGAAAGGTTAATTTTTATTTTTTATAAACTCTTGGCTTTATGTTTTATCAATGGAAATCAATATTAAAACAGAATGTGTGAGGGTGTGTATATGTAGGAAACAGGTATTAGAACAGGTTTTGGGATTAGGATAGTTATAAACAAAAGAATTGACCTGGAGACTTTGTAATCAAGATAGAAGGTCCATACCACCTGAGGTACAATGGAATGTGTCATACCAGGACAACCATTTGTAACTGTATTCATGCACACATGAGAAAGACCCCAGGAAAATGATATGTGTGTCTTGTGTAGCCACAGGCCAGGAGAAATATAGCAAACACACCTACCATGTAATCAAATGGAAGTCAGTATTATATCTAGGGAGCCTTTTGGGTCTGTTAGAAGGAGAGGAGAAAGAAGGATGGAAGGGAAGTACCATCACCCTCCCGGGAGATCTCAAAGAAAGTTAGTTATATATGATCATACATAAGTTATATTTGTAAATAGGAAGTATAGATATGTTATAAGTGTATGTATAGTGTTGGAGATTATTGTATTGTAAGTTGCATTTTGGATTGGTTTAATTACACTGATTTCATTATAACCAACACTGTAGATCAGTACCATCTAACAGTCCAGGATTTAGGGATTACCTAGTTGTGTCTAAGGTGGTTTTAGAAAGAAAGAAAACACACTTTAAACACAACAGGTTAATCCATAAATCCTGGCCTGGTAGGAGGTACTTGAGAAATGGCTTTGGAAGTCCTGCTGTAGATTATTTGATATTATGTTGCTGAGTTCCAATAATATATATATTGCTAGACTCTTGTAAAGCGGGAGTTCTTAGACCGAAACCCAATATTAGATAAATATAGAACAGGGATTGTGTAATTAATAAGCCAGATAATTTGGCTATAAGTGTATGTTTAGAAATGCATTCAAAGATTTATTGTCCTGGGTAAGGTTAGTTATTGTAGCCAGGGCCAGCCCGTCCTTTGGGTCCCAGTGGGGCTCTGTAATTAAGGTCTTAGCACAAATTAACAATCATGTCTTAACCTTGTTTTGCTGGTATGCTTGCAGAGGCACCTAGAAACCAACAATAAACAGAGCTGGACTATTTATTAAAAACTACTGATGTTAGAGAAAAATGGTGCATGTAATAAACTTTCTGAGGAAATATAAACATTATGATTGAACAATATTTACATAGTAATCTAGGTTGGAAAAGACTCAATGCTACTGAGTTCAACCTTTAAAACACATCTTTTTGTCCTTTTGATCTTAAAGAAAGAAAAACACATAAACAATTTAAAGCCATGACCAATTTTGCCTCAAAATGGGAAAAACAAATCTTTCTTGACTCCATATTGACAACCAACATTCATGTTAATCATAGTCTTGAATATTTCATAAAAAAAAAAAAAAAATATATATATATATATATATATATATATATATATATATATATATATACAGAATTTGGTAAGACAAACTCTTTAGGAAGATGAGTCCACGTCTTTATTGTCCTTACTGTACTTTTCCCCTCTGCTGTTTGCGAAAATGCCTTTCTTCCAGTCTCAATGGATGACCTCCCATCTCTTGTACAGTCCTACTAATGAGCAGGTTAGAACCTAATGGTTTGTACGGACCCTGTATATATTTGAATAGTATTTTCATAAAACCAGGTAATGCCACATGCATTCAGATGGCCATATCTATTTGCATGTGCCTCCCATGTGCAAAGAAACATATTTTCTATTATGATCTGATTTCCCATCCCCCATGGATCAGAGGAGAAAGTTATAATAAACTGCATGCGTATAAAAAGGAAATCCACCAAATTTCCACTGAGATTTCTGCATCGAGTTCAGTACGAAAAAAAAAAGCTTTAGAGACTTTTAGTTTCTTTTCGAATATGACAATGATAAAGAACAGCATAGATAAGAAAAAAAATATCCTAAAGAGTTTAAATGCACCAATTGATACAAGCCATAATCAATCAAACCCTTTCTCTTGATTGAAGGAATTATGGAGTTATCTGAGAAGACAATTAGCTATTTCACCAATAGCTTACGTTCTACATGTGCCCAGCTATAGAACTTCAAACTTGAATGATGTATGTTTACTATCTATAGTTGAAATTTGCAAGTTAATCCTTTCCCCTAGGGCAGTGATGGCTAACCTTGACACCATAAATTGTTTCTGGACTACATTTCTCATGAAGCTTTTAGAGTCTAAAAACTAGCTGAGCATCATGAAATGTAGTCAAGAAACAATTTATAGAGCCAAGGTTAGCCATCACTGCCATAGGGAAACAATTACAGTATTTTTGTTCTGTTACCACTGGCAATATTTTTTCAATTATGACATTTGATTATAACAGAAGCACGTGTTGAAGTTATGTAGTAGAAGCAAGTTGTTAGGATGTGACCCAGAAACCCAGTTATTGGGGTACGGGGCAGAAGCACCAGCTGGATGGTCTATGTGATCAGGAATACAAGTGATGGAAAAAATAGATAAATTAAATAGCAGAGATAATAGGACCAAGACTAGTCCTACACTACGTGCCCAATTTTATGCGCTCCTCTGCAAGTCTTAAGGGTCAAAACTGACACTCAGTGAGACAGATTCTCCATAAAAATTAATCCTTCCATTCACACACCTGTGCTGCTGATTAGCAGAAAACCACATTCACATTCACTGACACTACTAACAAATAACCACTTAATTTACATATATTGATCATACACACAAATACTATTTTACCTTTGCAAATTCCCACACACCAACACTGCACATAAATTCTCCCCTGCATTTATATAAACGCAGTACATTAAACTATAACACATTCAAACATAAACTTTGCACACTCAAAAGTAACCTAGAATTCATACATACTAAGACCACATACAGACGCACATAATGCATCTAAACAGGCAATAGACATACTCATAATTGCTTGTGTTTACATTGATTTGTCAAATTCAGACATACCTTATACACAAGCATGGACTGTTATTTAAATGTTATATGCAACATTTGTTTTAAGCAAGGATATTGGCATTCAAGGAGCTCTAATTATGATCATCAATCTATAGATTTTAAAAATAAAATAATTTTTTTTTAATTTTATTGTACCATTTTGTCACCTATTGTATAATTATTTATGCTATAGTTAATAAAAATCTTTTATTAAAATTTTCTGATAATAAATGTAAACATTGAATATGAAGCTTGTTACAAGTTATTGTAAAATCACATGCAGTTCTTCTGGTTGTGGATGAGTTCAATATTCTAAATTATTCTTAATAAAATAGGCCATAAAAGGGATAAGGTAAAACGGGAGCACTATTTATTGATGAGTCATATAAACTATGGTTTTTATGATGCATAAGTATAGCTTCAAGGGGCACACCCGGTGTTAAATGTAGAGTCTTCCAATTTCAATTAATATCAAACCAAAGATATTCTACTAAATTATATACATTTAGATTGCCATTAAATATGGAGAGATTAACATAATGTAGCCAATGGAACATCATCATTATGCAACCATGAGTATATAAAATAAAATAAAACGTCTTCATCTAGAGCAGTCACACGGAACATCTCTCCAGTGTATTTTATTTATGAAGTAGACTTCATCAAACTAAAGAGAACATCATGTCTGGGTCTAAAAGTGGTCAACAGGGACAAGACAGCCAGCAAGGCCAATATGGTCATCATGGAGGCCAACATGGTCATCATGGGGAACAAGGCCAGCAAGGACACCATGGCTGTAAGTATATGCATTTTGCAAATCCTTGTATATATAATATATAGAGCTACAGTTTACAATCCATGCAACCAGTTTTCAATACTTGGTTTTGATAAGTCCTTATCAGATAAACATTATAATATGCAGACAATAGAAAGGAGGATATATCATTTGTTTATATATAATTAATTTATTGATTTAACAGTAAATTAGCAAACTCCATTGCTGCAGATATGGCAGAAGAAATATAGAAAATCAGTTATTGTTTTCACAATGCATTTTATGCTTCATATATCAATCAGAAGGAGATTAATTATTTGGCTTAATATTTAGTCTCGTTTTCTTTGCTTCAGTAGGTAGTGGTGGACAGCAATGCCAGGATCAGAGTTCCACTGGAGGTCCAAAATCAGGTAACTGAACAAGTTACAAATATTAAACATTGATGTGAATCATTTGAGTATTGACTGTTTTTCTTTCAAACTGTGATTTAAATAACGTGAGTTTAATGTGCATTTTATGGAAATAGTTTTTATATAATTACCTTTAAAACTTGGGCACTGTCTGCTGGTAACCTCTTTTTATGGGCTACATCAGAAACATACAAATGAATATAATCAGCAAAGTAAAGTGTGTGATGTGATACATACGAAACACTCCCACTAAAACAGATGTATGTTTTCCTTGATTCAGGTGGTGCTGGTGGACAGCAGTGTCAAGATCAAAGCTCATATGGTGGACGAGAATCAGGTAAATGGATACATGGATTTCAGTATTAACAAAAACATGCTTATAAAAATATACCAAAATGCAAAAAATAAATATATATATAATTTTTGTCTCTCTTTAATTAAAGGAGGCAAAGGAGGACAGTGCCAAGATCAAAGCTCCTGTGGTGGCCAAAAATCAGGTAAAATATGTGAATAATTATACTGAAATAAAGTTACAAAATAATAATTGTAATCTAATAGTGAAATAAACTGTCAAGTTAAGAGAGTACTCAATGGATTCAGACATACTTTGAAGTGAAAACCATATTTAAAGGTTCTTCTCAAGTTTCTGAGTTAGCCAGATATTAAAACATGCAAGAATTTACATTTTATTGCAAAGGACAACTTGGCCTGTTGTGAAGTTACAACATACTGGAGTGCCTTACAACACTCATAGCAAGCAGACAAGAATTAAGGGACCAAGGAGTCCTAGGCAGATCACCGGTTTGAGGCCCCACATTTATTTTTCACATAGGGGTGGTTAATTGAGCCAAGCAAATTCATGGTTGTGAGGCCTCAGTGTAAATCTTGTGGGCTAGGCTGTCACTTAAGGTCATGTTATGGTTAATCCTGCTCTGATAACTAGTATGATGCTACATGCATTAACTAAGGTTTCCTAGATATGATCCATTGGCCTTAATGATGATTAGAATGCTTAGAAAATTTTAGAATCGTTAGCTAATGCTTATCATTCCGTCCCTAAATTTGGCAAAGCTTAGGACCGTAAGTAGACCAACAGACACTTTAGTTTGCCATTTCTGTTTTTGTTTTTTAGTATTAATATTGATATATAGTGACTATATATTATATCTCTCTTTAGGGGGTAACGATGGGCAGGGTCAAGTTTCAGGCTATGGTGGTCAAAAATCAGGTAAAAGCATGATTAATTGTATTTTAACATAGAAAATAATACATTGTATCTATTTCAAAACAAGCATATGAAGCCAAAAATACATAATGTGAGAACGTTTTCTCAAAAAGGGTCAAGTACACCCGAGTAAAAAAAACAAATGATATACAGCAATGGCTAAATGCTCTGAAATGACTGAGATTTAATTGGATTGTTTAGTAAATAGCAAACTCACCAAGCACTCTCTTAACGAGCAGATATCAACAATTGTTTTGTTATCTATTTTCTCCATTCAGGTGGCAGTGGTGGGCAGGGCCAGGATCAAAGCTCCTGTGGTGGTCAGAAATCAGGTATAATTAATCACCAATATTTATATTTCAATATTTGGTTTTATCATATTGTAATAATGTGGACATATTTCATGATATATATATATATATATATATATATATATAATAAAGTAGATGGCTTGGCACTCTCCTTCCTAGTATTCCAAATATGTATAACTGCCCGGGTGCAATCCGCTGTGCGTCCGCTATATAATCAAAAAATATATCCAGGGTCCACTCTCAGGTCTTGAGCAAAAAAAGCGATTTATTAAATCATGTGCAAAATAAAGACAACCAACGTTTCGACCCCTGCGGGTCTTTTCAAGGTTCACTTTTTTTGCTCAAGAGAGTGCACCCTGGATATATTTTTTGATTATATATATATATATATATATATAGTTACTAGTGTGTGAGCTCTTTATACATAATGCTTTTCAGGCAAAACATTGTATTTAGTTGGTCATCAATCTGTCTTTCACATTTTTATATTCTTTATCATGCATTGAAATCATTCCCTCTCTCTCTACGTCAGGTGGTGACTCTGGGAAGCAGTGCGGGGACGTAGGATCCTGCGGTGGGAATAAATCAGGTAAACACATACGTATATTAATAGAATACATGATGATTAAGTTTATCTTTTAATACCATTTGCACATGGTAATAATGATAATAACACCCAGTGGTGTAAGTACCAGTGTATTTTTTACCAGTGTAACACATACTGCGAATAGAAGTACAAAACTAAATTTTTATTCTGGTCCAAGTTAACAATGAAAGATTGATTAGGATTGATGTTTAAGCGTTTTATAAATTAGTGAAAAGGGCTTTATTTTTGCCACAGTCTGTACATATAATGTATAAACAGTGAATTTTACTTTCAAACTTTCAAAGATTTTCAATAATTTTGGTAAGTCTAATGTGAAAGAAGTACATTTCACTGTGTTGCATTTTAGCAAGAGTTTATCAAAACATCAACATGTACACTTTTAAAGCTAACATTATTAATTATTATTATTATTATTATTATTATTATTATTATTAGTGTTTTTTTTCAGCAATACTTTGGCTAATCTATCTAACATCTATCTCATCTTTTTCTTTTTTTTCTAGATGGCCAGAACCAGGGAAAAGGCCCTGGTGGTAAGAAGTAAGAAAAGGGATGTTTCTATCACACATCCAATACAACATCATACCATATACTGCTTGTTGCTGCTATAACTTTATACAATAAAATGCACTAGACTGTCTGAGCAATGCAATCTGTGGCTATGTAGTGATTTATTATAACTCTTCTCGACACCCTATTTATTTATTTGCTTGTTACATGTTATTTTACGTGGAACCAGAGCAGGGTGACCACATGCACCCTAGATTTCAATTCAGACTTTTTTATTTTCCATAGCTCTTTTTTTTCTTTGTTCTCTTTTTCCCATTAAACCCCGTAATACATCTTACCCATTTCTCTCCTTTAAATAAAAACAAGAAAATAAAAATAAACCCCTATTTGAAATGTTTTTTATAGGGAATAAAAAAAATACAAATAATATTTCTTTTTTAAAAAACCCTTCAGTGATCTTCAAGTTCCACAATTTAGACAAGTTGATTACAATTTCAGATACACCCCTCTTCCAGCAGGAAGAGTCTCCACCATTTAAGAGCTTCTCATCCATGAGCATTATCTTATCCATGTCCAGCAGCAATTTATACACAGTTTGCTGAATAATTGATGAATAATTGGAGAACTGCTGTACACATTACAGTCATGGGAAAAAATAAAGTACACCCTCTTTGAATTATGTGTTTTTACATATCAGGACATATGAGCAATCATCTGTTCCTTGGCATCAGTGGTGTATCCTGGTTTTGTGCTGTCTTAGACATGACAAAACTCAGCCCCCGCCCCGCCCCGCCTTCTAAATACACATACACACTAAATGACAGACACATGTACACTCAGTGTCAGACACACATATTCACTGACAGACACACATACACTAGCTAACAGACATACACACTCACTAACAGACATACACACTTACTAACAGACACATACAGTCACTAGCAGACACACACAGTTACCTTCAGACACGCATACACTCTCACTAACAGGCATGCATTCACACGCACTAATAGACACACATACTAACACACTCACTAACAGAGACAGGCACGCATACACTCTCACTAACAGACATGCATACACACTCACTAACATACAAACACACTAACACACTCACTAACAGACACACACACACACACACAAACTAACAGACACACTTATAGTAACACACTCCATAACAGACACACACACTAACACACACACAGAAACACACACTCACTAACATACACACACACTAACAGACACACACACACACTAACAGACACCCACACACTCAGTAACAGACACACACTCACACTCACTAACAGACACACACTAACAGACACACACTAACAGACACACACTAACAGACACACACTAACAGACACACACTAACAGACACACACTAACAGACACACACACTCACTAACAGACACACACACTCACTAACAGACACACACACTAACAGACACAAACACACACACTAACAGACACCCACACACTCACTAACAGACACACACTCACTAACAGACACACACTAACAGACACACACACACACACTAACAGACACACACACACACACACACACACACACTCACTAAAAGACACACACACTAACTTTTTTTTAAATTCAATCCCCCTGCCTCCCTACACTTGGAAGTGCTGGGGTAGATTATCACTTTCCTGGGGCTGTTGGGCGGCCGGCCAGTCACTGCAGTCGGCGAGGGAGCACTGATCCTCCTGTTCCCCTACATCGCGGGCCGTGTAGTGATGCCGGCGCCGGAGTGACATAATTTTCTGGCTCCGGCATCACTGAGGTGCGTGCGAGGTAGCTGAACAGGAGGATCAGTGCTCCCTCGCTGCCCGTCCGGAAAGTTCCGCCGGTGCCAGCCTGGGGGCCCCTGAGGTGGTCACCCGGCCAGCTCCTGGGCCCCCCAGGACAAGAGACTGGCAAGGCATTTGCCAGTGCAATTGTGGGGCGGCTTTTTTTGCCCCCCCAAAAAAAAGTGCCGCCCAAGGCAAATGCCTTGTTTGCCTCGCGGTAAACACACCCCTGCTTAGAAACAGGTAAATGCAACCTCAGATGAACAACAACATTATTTATTTATTTATAAAATATTTTACCAGGAAAGATACATTGAGATTTCTCTCGTTTTCAACTATGTCCTGGGTCCACAAATCATTGCATTGTTACATTAGGGTACAATAAAATACAAAAACAATATTAATACACAATAAATACAAAATTTAACATAGAACAGGTAGGACATATATAATCAACCATGACAGGTGCATTCTGTTTTGAGGTATGTAGAGAGGGATCTCTTAAAGGACTTTAGGCTTAGGGTTGATTTTAAATTGTGCGGGAGGTCGTTCCACAATTGCGGTGCTCTGTAGGAGAAGGAGGATCGGGCCGTTTTCTTTTTGTATTGAGGTAGACTAAGTAAATCCATGTCATAATTTAATAAAAATAAAGTTAAATGTACACCTTTTGATTTAAAACCTTGTAGAACCAAATTTAGCAGCAATAACTTGAAGTTATCATTTCCTTTTTGACTTTATCACTCTCTCGTAACGTTGTGGAGGAATTTTGGCCCACTCCTTTTTACAACATTGCTTCAGTTAATTGAGGTTTGCTGGCATTTGTTTATGCACAGCTCTCATAAGGTCCGGCCACAGCATTTCAATCGTGTTGAGTTCTGGACTTTGACAGGGCCATTGCAACACCTTGATTCTTGTATTTCCCAGCCATTCTGTTGTAGATTTGCTGGTGTGCCTGGAATTATTGTCCTCTTGCATGATCCAATTTCAGCCAAGCTTTAGCTGTCATTTCACTTTGGTATAAAGAGTGTTCATGGTCGACTCAATGACTACAAGGTTTCAAGATCCTGTGGCTGCAAAACAAACCCAAACCATCACCCCTCTGTCATTGTGCTTGATTATTATTATTATTATGATATTTATATAGCACCATCACACTCCGCAGCGCTTTACGATGGGTGGATGAACAGACATGTAGTTGTAACCAGACAAGTTGGACACACAGGAACAGAGTGGTTAAGGGCCCTGCTCAATGAGCTTACATGCTAGAGGGAGTGGGGTAAAATGACACAAAAAGGTAAGGATAGTATTAGACTAGTGACAGTTGCAGAAGAGGAATCAGTCAGGAGCTATTAACAGTTTAATTGATACGCGTTTATGAAGAAGTGGGTTTTTAATGATTTTTTGAAGGAGTGGAGACTGGATGAGCATCTAACGGAGGAGGGAAGCGAGTTCCACAGGAACGGTGCAGCCCTTGAGAAATCTTGAATCAGAGGTGGGAGTACGGACAGAAGATAGACGTAAGTCTTCAGCAGATCGTAAGGACCTAGACGGGACATACTTGTGTATAAGGGAGGATAGGTAGGTGGGAGCAGCATTATGTAGCAATTTGAAAGCAAGAACCAGAATTTTAAATTGAGCTCTATATTTTATAGGAAGCCAATGTAGGGACTGACAGAAGGGTGAGGCATGGGAGGTGTGGGAGGACAGGAAGATGAGCCTCGCTGCCGCATTCATTATGTACTGTAACGGCGAAAGTTGGGAGCACGTAAGACCACTGAGAAGCAGATTACAGTAGTCAAGGCGAGAAAGGACAGTGTAATGGACCAACACCTTAGTCGCATCTGGCGTTATGTAGGGGCGGATGCGCGCAATGTTTTTGAGATGGAAATGACAGGATTTGGCGATAGATTGAACATGAGGCTTGAAAGAGAGGTCGGAGTCAAAGAGAACACCTAGGCAGTGAGCATGCATGGTGGAGCTGATGGTAGCACAGTTTACTTGAGTTTAAGGAAATGGGCAGCCATCCAGTTAGAAATAGCAGAGAGGCAGTCAGAGACACTAGTCAAGAGGGACAGGGAGAGATCAGGAGAGGACAGGTAGATTTGCATGTCATCTGCATAGAAATGATATTGGAAGCCAAAGGAACTAATGAGTTTACCAAGGGAGGCAGTATACATGGAGAACAGTATAGAAGGACTGAACCTTGGGGGACACCAACAGAAAGGAGTTGGGGAGAAGAAGCAGAGCCAGAGAAAGAAACACTGAAAGAGTGCTGGGAAAGGTAGGAGGAGCACCAGGAGAGAGCAATATCTTGTAGACCGATATTGTGGAGGATGAGAAGAAGTTGTTGATGATCAACAGTGTCAAAAGCCGCAGACAGGTCAAGGAGAATTTTGCAGCGAGTAGATCATTGGATACTTTGGTCAGTGCAGTTTCCACAGAGTGCTTAGCACAGAAACCAGACTGAAGCGGGTCTAGCAGAGAGTTGGACTCGAGGAAGTCTGTCAATCTCGCATACACAATTCTTTCAAGGATCTTGGATGCAAAAGGCAGTAGCGAGATAGGACGATAGTTCGATGGGGAGTTAGGGTCAAGATTGGGCTTCTTTAGAATTGGGGTTACAGTTGCATGTTTGAAGGGTAATGGAAATATAGGAGGAGAGAGAGAGATTGAGAATTTTAGTAAGAGGTGGAGACAGAGAAGAAGACAGAGTACAGATGAGATGCGAGGGAATTGGATCTAGGGAGCAGGTGGTGGGGCAGGAGGACTAGAGCAGAGCAGAAACCTCTTCCAATATAGCGGGTGCGAATGAACATAGAACAGCAGAGGGAGTGAAGTTAGGGGAAGTATTGTAAGGGGAAGAAGAAAGATGAGAAATCTCTTCTCTGATTATATAGATCTTGTCAGTGAAGTGAGTTGCAAAGTCTGAGGCGGTCAAGTTAGTAGGTGGAGGAGGAACAGCAGGGCAAAGAAGAGAGTTAAATGTGTGAAATAGTCGTTTGGGTTCGTGGGAGAGTGTGGTTATGAGGGTATTGAAGTAATTAACTTTTGCAGAGGAAAGAGCCAAGCTGTATGAGCTCAGCATAAATTTATAATGGAGAAAGTCAGATGCACAGTGAGACTTTCTCCAACAGCGTTCAGCAGTTCTGGAGCATTTTTGGAGGTATCGAGTGAGCTTGGTGTGCAAGGATTGTTGTTGGGGGCACCTGCGGCGTTTAAATGTACAAGGTGCCATGATGTCTAGTTGAGAGGAGAGGGTGGAATTGTAGATGGAGGTTGCAGAACTAGAACAGGTGAGGTTTGAGATAGGTAAAAGGGGAGAGTTTGGAGACTAGTGGAGAAATGCTCTAGGTCAAGACATTGGAGGTTTCTGTG